AATGGAATTAAATTTTATATAATTCTCAGCTCTAGTATCAATTAAATATTTTTTATGTTCTTCAGGCTTACCTAATTTTAAAAAAACTTGTAAAAGTAGGTAACTATATTTTAACACCTTAAAATATAGAATCAATAGAGTATCAGAAACCACGCTGTCATTTTCAAATTTTTGTTAACTATCTTCATGTTGGCAGGGATGATATTAAGATTTACTTTAAAGCACAAAGATAAGACACCTTGTTTTTTCAGAATGAGTTAGAAATAGACAAAATATGTGAGAGAATGTGAATTAACTAAGGCATGGCTGAGAATGAGCAAATTTCAGAGGGTAATATTCAGAAGGAAAGGCTTAACACTGAAGAGAAAGTTAATCATTTTCAATCTGCAGAAAAATCCATTGAAATGAAACACTTAGAGGGCACCTACAATGCTCACTCCACCATGGACTGAGAAAAACAACCCGTTGTCTCAGAATTAATGGAAAGACAGGCATTGAATATAATAAAGTAGAATGCATGTAGAGTATAAAGTGAAAAAGATTTAAGACTGAAAGAATGTGGATGAATTAGAGAAAAATGTAAGAGATAAGGAAGAGACCAATAAGGAAGAAAAAGCAAGGGGTATAATAAGTGAGGAAAATTGCAAGAAAAAAATAAAAGCATAAAATAAAAAATAAAAGAAGCCAAAGAAAGTGTAAAAAGAATAATTGAAGAGACTGAGTGTCTGATGCTAGAATTAACAGGAAGAGAATAGGAAGAGATAAAAAAAAAAGAAGCAAGAGGAAATGGATGGGGGAAGATGAAAGAATGAGATGCTAGCATGGTAATCAGATCTCCAAACACCTGGTTCCAGGAGCTGGTCTGATAGCAGTGGGAGTCCTGGCCTGCTCAGTGTTGCCTGCAAAGGCTGTGTGTTTGTACTCTGATATATGGGAGCGGGGATATCAGCACCCTCTCTACCTGTGTGTTTGTATCAGTTGAAATAACAAAGGTTAGAGCTGCAAGCATTCAAGTCTCCATCTTATCCTACATTAACAATACTTCTTTGCCTTATCTAACTAGAACAAAAAGCTTGTCCCTATGAGTTCTGCTGGGTATTTTTTTTTGGCTTTTTTTCCCCCAGGAATTCATTTTGTACAGAACAATGTCCATCTGAAGCATATCTGTCTTCAATGTCTGTGATGAGCACAATTAAAGAATCAGTGGAACAGAAAATATGTAAATGAGAAGAAAATGGATTAAAGATGTGAGTGGTAAGGAATTCCATCTGTTAGTAATAGACATGGATGATAGCAAATAAAAACAAATGAAGAATGGAAGAGACTGTAACTCTCAGAGCACTGCCTGTGTCCGAAATTGTCAGCCCAAAGAAGCATGAAATAACTGTGAGAGCCTGGAATTCAGCAAGTGTCAGAATAGGTAATGGGAACTGACTTATTTACTAAGAGCAGGTTGCTGTAGGAAGAGTGAGGAATGAATGTGGAAGCCAATAGGTGTCTAGGGGGGTAAAAGACAGAAGAAAGTGCCTAAGCTCATTTGAAGGACACCAGAGATATTTTTTCCTATTCCAATATGCTTCAACTCACTATGTGTGTTTACATGTTTGAATATGTATTTGTAAGTACAAATATGTGCTCATGGGTTATAAATTCCCATTCCATAACCTCTGACTGCTAGTTATAAATGCTACTAATCACATAGAACAAGTGCTCTGATGTTTAAATATACTCTAAAACACCAGCATATTGCTTAAATTTCCCATGAGTTCTTTTTAAGTCTTATTTTCTTCTTTTCCCTGTTTTAAATTGTATTGTTGTTCAAGAACAGTTGTCTGCATTTACCTTCCACCTGTTTCCCCAACCCCAGCCATCCCTACCTCTTTCCCCTAATTCCACAACCCCCCAGGTTTTTTCCATGTGTCCTTCATAGTTGTTCCTGAAAACCCTTCACCCTTCCCCGCCCACCCGTTATCTCCTCTCCCATCTCCCCTCTTGTTGAGGGAGTTATTGCCCATTTGTTCTTAATATCGATGTCTCTGGTTATATTTTGCTTGCTTGTTTGTTTTGTTGATTAGGTTCCACTTAAAGGTGAAATCATATGGTATTGGTCTTTCTGAAGCCACTATGGAAAACAGTATGGAATTTCCTCAGAAAACTAAAAATGGAACTGCCTTTTGACCTGGCAATTCCACCGCTAGGACTATATCCTAAGAAACCTGAAACACCAATCCATAAGTATTATTTTTCTTATTCTTTCCTTCTTTTTTCTCTTTCTAGCTCCTCTTTCTGGGGATGCTACCAATAATTTCTGTCAAATTTCAATTGGGAATTTTTTCCTCTCCAGCCCTCCCCACCACATTCAATAACACTTTTAAAATGTTTGATTGAGATATACTCAACATAAATATGTCATTTAAAGAGTGTAATTCAAGCCCTGGCCATGTAGCTCAGTTGGTTAGAGCATTTTTCTGATACACCAAGGTTGTAGGTTTGATCAGACATAGACATGACTTATACAGAGAGCTGAAAAATACTAACAAGCATTAGCCCCTACCTCAGTGACTAACATAAGGCTTAGTCATACAAGCTATCACCTAATTTTTCTTTAATAACCTGAATTTTCTATGACTCAGTCAATAACATCTTACAGGTGAGGCAAAGCAGACTGTAAAGTCTTCACATACTAGGAACCTTCGCAATAGAAAGAAAGATATTTCAGCAGGTAGATTCAATTGTTAAAAGTCTAAAAACCAACAATTTATGCAACAGGTTATGCAACAAAGAATTTTTAACTGTTAAAATTCAATGTCTAAAAATAATTTCTAATAAATTAGTACTTACACAGTTCTTTGAAAAATACCTAATCAGCCCATACTTTCAAAATGAAAGTGTTAAGCAAATGATTTATATGACCTTGATCAACTTTCCTAATCTCTCTAGTTTTTAGATCCCTTATTAAAGTGGGGGAACTAATAGCTTATAGAGCAATGTGATATAATGTCAAGTCTTGAATCTACATTGCATTATTCAAATGTTATTTTGGCCATCTTTTCTTGTATTTTTGAAATTTTTTTATAATAAAAAGATTAACATATTTAAAAAATTAAATAAATAGTGTAATTCAATGGCTTTAAGTGTTTCTACAGAGTTATGCAAGCATCAAAATGATATAATTTTAGGACATTATCACCCCCCAAAAAGAAACTCATACTCATTAGCAGTCACTCTCCTACTCTACCCTTAGCTTTAGGCAACAACTCCTATGTTCTGTCTCTACAGATTTGCCTTACCTGGACATTTTGCATAAACTGAATTATACAACATGTGAATCTTTGTGACTGGCTTCATTCACACAGCATAATGTTTAGTGGTTCATACAAGTTGTAGCATGTATCAGTAATTCATTAATTTTATTGCTAAATTGCATTACATTGTATCCACAACACTTTTGAAAAACAAGTATTGCATGTAATTTAAAATCAAGGAAATATTGGTATTTGTTACATTATAGTATTTCGTTATAATTAGCAATCTTTCATTTTTAAATCATTCCTCATGAAATAAGCCCAGATATCAAAATATTGTACATACATATTTTCTTATAAAAATGTTTCTACAAGCATAGTAATATAAAATTATAAAATAATCACAAATATGCAACATTGTAAAAGACGTTTTATAACAATAATAATAGAGAACATACACTATTTAATGCACCCTGGTTAATTATCTTGTGTATATCCTGGGGTGAACACAACCAATCCCTTTGGAGACCACTATATAGACTAAGCCTTACTTCTTGATGTCTCCAACATGAATAGAATTATTATTTAGACTAGATTATTCCCCCAAAAGGAGAAATATTTACACAAAAATATCTACACAAGAAATATGATTAATTATTTAAGTGCCTAAATAAAATTACAGCAGTTGATGGGAAGCAAACAATTTTCTAATCAGCTTAAACTAAGGAATACATCCCCTTCTTTCTACCATTTCCTAATGAGAATGAAGAAAACTCATTGCAAATTTAAGACTCTTAACTGCAATTGCCTTATTTTTTTTCATGTCAATGACTATATTAGATTACATGTGCTATATTACCAGTTCTGGCTTTAGTATGTTTTGATTTTATTAGTTTGAGATTGTCAAAATATTTTATATATTGTGATAAATTTTATATTACATAAAACTATTTGAGGGAAGCATCACTTGGCTATCCTTATGAGATTTGAGGAAGAACTAGGTTATAAACATATGGTGAGCAAATGAAATTGGATTAGTATTAAGATTTAAGAACAGGGTGTGGAGCAGATGCAGAAATGGGATCCTACCAGGGTTGTAACTCAGGGGTGATACCTTTAAGTTTGGTGAAGTATGGATATCCTGCGTTATATCCTGGTGACCAGTTTCAAGTAAAGTTGCACAAGGGCACCAGAGCAGAACAATGTCATGAGAACTATTAAGGCAGAAACTCAGGGAAGAAAAAAGGCGTATAGCTACTGGCAAGGAATGAGACATTCTACAGGAACTGAAGGAAGATGCAGCTGCAAAAACACTTTGCTCTGTGGGGAGGAAGGCAGGGGACCAAAACCAAGCAACTAATCTAAACATTGGAGATAATATACCCCCACTAACAACAACAACAACAACAACAAAACCTAAACATTTTGATAATGGTTAAGTTTGGCTTTAATCAGGAAATTTCTCATATACCTCAAGCAGAGTAGCTCAGAGTCCTACAGGAACACAGTTATGTAGACACACTTAAGTGGAAACAATAATGTAGCTATGAGAACAGTGTCTTAGGGAAATCAAGAAAATAAAGGGTAGAAAGGTTAACTCAAAACGTAGAGCAATAAGGCTTAAGTTGTTTACAGCTTAATGAGTGTGTGATGTGGCAAATATCATTTTTATTTGGATAAGAACTATGAAATAAATAAAAATGTGGTTATAACACATAATATTTTGTTCTTTGTTATTCTGTAGGCTAAGGAGTGATGGAAAGCAAGAATAGCACAGTGGTGACAGAATTCATCCTCCTTGGTCTGACGCAGTCTCAAGATGCTCAACTCCTGGTCTTTGCGCTAGTTTTAATTTTCTATATCATCATCCTCCCTGGGAATTTCCTCATCATTCTCACCATTAGATCAGACCCTGGCCTCTCAGCACCCCTCTACTTCTTTCTGGGAAACCTGGCCTTCCTTGATGCATCCTACTCTTTCATTGTGGCTCCCAGGATGCTGGCAGACTTCCTCTCTAAGAAGAAGGTCATCTCCTACAAGGGCTGCATCACTCAGCTCTTCTTCTTGCACTTTCTTGGAGCAGGGGAAATGTTCCTTCTTGTTGTGATGGCTTTTGACCGCTACATCGCCATCTGCCATCCTTTACACTATTCAAATGTCATGAACCCTAGAACTTGCTACACCTTGCTGTTGGCTCTGTGGTTTGGGGGCTTTACTCATTCCATTGTACAAGTGGCCCTTATTCTCCACTTGCCCTTCTGTGGTCCAAACCAGCTGGATAACTTCTTCTGTGATGTGCCGCAGGTCATCAAGCTGGCCTGCACAGATACATTTGTGGTGGAGCTCCTGATGGTCTCCAATAGTGGCCTGCTCACCCTTCTGTGCTTCCTGGGGCTTCTAGCATCCTATGCAGTGATCCTATGCCGGGTACAGGGACAGTCCTCTAAAGGGAAGAACAAGGCTCTTTCCACATGCACCACACACATTATCATTGTGTTTCTCATGTTTGGACCTGCCATCTTCATCTACACTCGCCCATTCAGAGCTTTCCCAGCTGACAAAGTAGTTTCTCTCTTTCACACAGTGATTTTTCCTTTGCTGAATCCTGTGATTTATACCCTTCGCAACCAGGAAGTGAAAGCATCCATGAGGAGGTTATTGAATCAGCACACAGTTTCCTGAATGGAACAGAAGAATGAGAAAAGAAAGAAAGGAGAAAATCTAGTTTGAATTAATTAAATCATTTATTTGTTATATACTGAATCAGTCAGTCATTTAGAAAATATTATATTTATTCAGCACTTCTAGTTTTCAGGCATGTTTTTAAGAGTTTGAGTAAGACAGGTAAAATTCCCTGTCTCCTGTGGTTGCATTCAAGTGGATTAAGACAGGTTACACTATTAGCCTGAAAAAGAAAACATAATATTAAAATGAGATAGTGCTCTGAAACAAATAAAAATAATATTATGCTAGGGTTTGGCTGGAAGATGGTAGTTAGTTTACTTTTGGTTGTTAAGCAAGGTCTTATTGAATGGTGTTTAGCTGATATTAGGATGACCTGAAAGAAACAGCTATACAATTACCTGTGGACAAGAAATTTTTGGGCAGAGATAATGACTAGTACGAGAACACAAAGACATTATGAGCTTGGTATATTTGAAGGTCATAAAGAGGAATAGAGTAGCTGCAGTGCAATTAATGAGTGTGAAAGTGGCAGGGATTGAAATTAGAGAGGTTGGTATGAACAAAATTTTACATTTTAGGTGGCCGTAAGAATTCAATTCATTCAAATTTCAAAGAGAGGACATGAAGCAAAAATAGTTATCTAATGTTTCTCATTTGACTTAAGGCAAGAGCCTGAAGATTCTGAATAAAGAGCTTAAAATAACATTAAGTAGAAAGTATCATGATGTTAAGTATTTCTTTATGGACACTTAAATACCTAATTATTTTTTCTTAATTTGGTGGATGGTGGAAAAGAAAGTTGTTATATTTCATGGAATGCTATCATAACAATTTAACTTTACATTTTAAGTTTCTGGAGTTTTGTCATCATTAGTAATGGTTATTTTTTAAGTGTTAGAGAGAAGTTCAAGTTTCTCAAAAATCTTTTCACCCTAAATGCAATGAGGATAGGTATTTGGTGTCTCAGTCATTATTTGGTTACAGATAACTAAACCACTCTGGTTATTTCTTAAAATGGGAATAATATAAGGCATTGGGTATTTACAAAATCATGAAAAGGGCTATAAGAGTAGTCTTTGATGTGGCAACCAGTAATAAATCTCCAACATTACCAACAAATTAGTATATACAAAGAGTTACTATCCTTATCCTTATAGCAATTGTGGAGCTAAGAAATATAGAAGTCTTTTGTTGTTTTTTTTTTACTGCTGGTTCTAGGATCACAGCAATTGAAAATACTGCAGAGTTGCTCTAGTACTTGGATATCCCCACACAAAATGGAAGTCTTGCATTGTCTCTGTGCCCACTCCCATTATTTCTAAATATAAATCTTACGTGAGTAAATCAGAAGTCCTGGGTATACATCAGGGTTCAATTCTAATCCAAGAGGTCTATGGATGAACAAGAGATAGACTGATTCTTACAAAGGCTGCAAATCAGTTTAAACTTAACAAAATCCCAGTTTGGATTAAGACACGGCTTCTCAAGTTTGGTATTATTGACACCTGAGGCCATAAAATCTTTTGTTGTGTGGAGTTTTCCTGTGTACTTCAGATTGTTTAACAGCAATCCTGACTTCCACTTACTAGGTGCCAGTAGAATCTCCTCAGTTGTAACAATCAAAACTATCCCAACATTTTACCTGTCATCTAAAGGGCAGATTTGTCCCATCTGAGACACACTGGATTAAATGAATTAACCTTCACTATCAGGAGTGTCCAACCTGTGGTCCATGAACCGTGTGCAGCTCAGGATGGCTATGAATGCAACCCAACACAAAATCATTAATTTACTTTAAACATTATGAGACTATTTTGTGATTACATGTCACAATGTATTTAATGTGTGGCCCAAGACAACTCTTCCTTTTCCAGTGTGGCCCAGAGACCCCAAAGGTTGGATACCCCTGATAGTGAGATGGATAAACCATCTTTTGGAGAAGCACATATAACTTAAATTTTATTATGCAAATAATCTTTTATTCATTATTTTTTATTGTTGTTCAAGTACAGTTGTCTCCATTTTCCCGACTCCAGCCATCCCCACTTCCTATCCTTGATCCTACCCTTCTTTGTTTTTGTACATGTGTCCTTCATACAAATTCTTGAAAACTCTTCTCTCTTTTTGCCCCATTATCCCCTCCCACCTCCCTCTGGTTACTGTCAGTTTGTTCTTACTTTCTCTAACTCTGGTTATATTTTGCTCATTTGTTTGTTTTGTTGATAAGGTTCCATTTATAGGTGAGGTCATATGGCATTTGTCTTTTGCCACCTCACTTATTTTGCTTAGCATAATGCTCTCCAGATCCATCTATGCTGTTGAGAAGAGCGGGAGCTCCTTCTTTCTTTCTACTGTGTAGTATTCTACCGTGTAAATGTACCATAGTTTTTTGTTTTGTTTTGTTTTGTATTTGAAATCTTTTTTCTCTTTTTTATTATAATAATTGTTCAAATACAGTTTTCTGTCTTTTACTCCCATTCCAGCCCATCCACCCAACCCTCCCCACGCCCTCCCTCTAGTTTTTGTTCATGTGTTCTTTAAATTTGTTCCTGTAAACCCTACACATTCTCCCCTGAAATTCCCTCTTCTCTCCCCTCTGGTCACTGTCAGCCTGTCCTCTATTTCAGTGTCTTTGGTTATATTTTGCTTGTTTCTTTGTTTTGTTGTTTAGATTCCTGTTAAAGGTGAGATCACATGGTATTTGTCTTTCACTGCCTGGCTTATTTCGCTGAGCATAATGCTTTCCAGTTCCATCCATGCTGTCACAAAAGGTAGGAGCTCCTTCTTTCTTTCTGCTTCATAGAATTCCATTATGTAAATGCACCATAGTTTTTTGATCGATTCATTTACTGATGGGCACCTAGGTTGCTTTCAACAGTTCGCTATTGTAAATTGTGCTGCTATGAACATCAGGGTGCAAAGATTCTTTTGTATTGGTGTTTTAGTGTTCTTAGGATATAGTCCCAGCAGTGGAATTGCTGGGTCAAAAGGCAGATCCATTTTTAGTTTTCTGAGGAAGTTCCATACTGCTTTCCATAGTGGTTGTACCAGTCTGCAGTCCCACCAACAGTGCACTAGGGTCCCCTTTTCTCCACAACCTCTCCAACACTTGTTGTTTGTTGCTTTGTTTATGATGGCCATTCTGACTGGTGTGAAGTGGTATCTCATTGTGGTTTTAATTTGCATCTCTCTGATAGCTAGCGATATTGAACATTGTTTCATGTGTCTTTGGATCTTCTGTATGTCCTCCTTGGAGAAGTGTCTGCTCAAGTCCTTTCCCCATTTTTTAATTGGGTTGCTTGTCTTCTTAGAGTGGAGTCGTGTAAGTTCTTTATATATTTTGGAGACTAAATCCTTGTCTGAGGTATCATTGGCAAATATGTTTTCCCATACAGTTGGTTCTCTTTTTATTTTGATACTGTTTTCTTTAGCTGTGCAAAAGCTTTTTATTTTGATGAGATCCCATTTGTTTATTCTTTCTTTTATGTACCTTGCTCTAGGGGACATGTCAGTAAAAAAGTTTCTGCCTGAAATATCTAAGATTTTCCTACCTACGTTCTCCTCTACGACTTTAATGGTGTCACAGTTTATATTTAAGTCCTTTATCCACCTTGAATTTATTTTTGTACAAGGTGTAAGTTGGTGCTCTAATTTCATTTTTTTTGCATGTGGCTGTCCAGTTCTCCCAACACCATTTGTTGAAGAGGCTATTTTTACTCCATTTTATGTTGCTGCCTCCTTTCTCAAATATCAATTGACTGTAGAGACTTGGGTTTATATCTGGGCTCTCTCTTCTGTTCCATTGGTCCATGTGCCTGTTTTTATGCCAGTACCAGGCTGTTTTGATTACAGTGACCCTGTAGTATAGTTTAGTGTCAGGTATTGTGACCTCTCCTACTTTACTCTTCTTTCTCAAAATTTCAGCAGCTATCCGGGGTTGTTTATGGTTCCATATAAATGTTTGAAGTATTTGTTCTATGTCTGTGAAATAAGCCATTGGTACTTTAATAGGTATTGCATTGAATGTGTAAATTGCTTTTGGTAGTATGGACATTTTGATGATATTAATTCTTCCACTGCATGAACACGGTATATGTTTCCACTTGTTTGTGTATTCCATGATTTCTTTCTTCAGTGTTATGTAGTTTTCTGAATATAGGTCTTTTACCTCTTTGGTTAGGTTTATTCATAGGTATTTTATTTTTCTTTTTACTATTTCAGATGGGATTTTTTTTCTTGATTTCTTCTTGTGCTGTTTCCTTGTTGGTGTACAAAAATGCCTTTGATTTCTGGATATTGACTTTGTATCCCACTGTTTTGCCAAATTCATTTATTAGAAACTTGGGTTTATTTCTGGGCTGTCTCTTCTGTTCCATTGGTCCACGTGCCTGTTTTTATGCCAGTACCAAGCTGTTTTGATTACAGTGACCCTGTAGTATAGTTTAGTGTCAGGTCTATAGGATTTTCTATGTACACTATCATGTCATCGGCAAACAGTGACAGTTTTGTTTCCTCCTTTCCAATTTGCATGCCTTTTATTTCTTTTTCTTGTCTGATCTCTGTGGCTATAACTTCCAGTACTATATTGAATAGAAGTGGTGAAAGTGGACATCCTTGTCTTGTTCCTGATCTTAGTGGAAAAGATTTTAATTTTTGCCCATTGAGTATGATGGTGGCTGTAGGTCTCTCATATATGGCCTTTATTATGTTGAGGAATGCTCCCTCTATTCCCACTTGCTGAGTGTTTTTATTATAAATGAGTGTTGTACCTTATCAAATGCTTTTTCTGAATCTATTGATATGATCATGGGGTTTTTGTCTTTGCTTTTGTTTATCTGATGTATTGCTTTTACTGACTTACGAATATTGAACCATCCTTGCATCCCTGGAATGAATCCCACTTGGTCATGGTTTATGATCTTTTTAATGTATTGTTCGATGCGGTTTGCCAGGATTTTGTTGAGGATTTTAGCATCTATGTTCATCAGCCATATTGG